CTGTTTCTACAGAAACCACAAGAGCACAAACATCTCCACCAGTTTATACAGGCTTCTCACTACACAATTCTTAAAATGAATATGGTTCATCATAAAGCAATTGTACTAGAATGTTTCCAAGGAAACGACACTGTATTTGCACGTTATAAATTTATTAGCTTTTAACTGTCCTTTAATGAGATTCAAACACTGAGAACTGTAATAACAATGTTATGAATAAGCTCTCTTGCACATATAGCTATAACTGATTTTTCTTAAACTTCAAAAGTATAATTATGTATTATTTTATAAATCAAAAGACAAAAAGACATAAAAATAAAAGATATATTTTTATTCCGTCCATTCCTATGCTAATGCTGAATTGTTTCCATTGTTCATAAATTTTCTTATGTTGTGTTCAGTCTAGTTTTAAAAGTCCTAAACATTACTGCTTCCACCAACTCTCTAGGGAGACTGTTCTATAGCTTGGAACATCACACCATCAGGAAAAGCTTTTTGGTTATATATTTCATCCTGAATTTTTCCTATGAATTTCATCCCATTAACTCTAGTTATGCTCCTCTATACTGTATCAACATGAGGATAGATACATTATACAAAATGTAGCATTAGATTATGACTAGTGCTTATGAGGCCATGCAGGGAAACTGGACTGATTAAGGATTCCAGCTCATTGTTGCAAGGCTAAAGATTGGCTGAAGTTTTGGGAGCAAGGAAGGCTATAGTTCAGATACAACCCAATTGTTTCCAGGGGAATGTAAGTAGACTGAACTAAGACACTAACCTGCATTCATAGGCTATGTGTACTTTTAAGTCAGCGTATACGTGGTAGCGCACTGCTTTTTATACCCATGCTAAGGTATGCATTAGCATGGGTATAAAGAGCAGTGTAAATGGTGGCTTAGACAAATAAAGGGATGCCATAACTTTACAGTAAGTATCCTATATGGCTCTCTGCATATCTAAGCAGTGCCTCTCACATTCAGCAGTATAGTGTCCCCGCTGCTGGAGCCTTTGACTGCAATGCATAGCTACATTCAACAGTATGAAAGCAGGCTGCTTTTCATTGCAATGTGCTACTAGATGTACACCACATGCCACCACAAGTGTTGACAAGGCCACACACTGGTCAGCAGAGTTGTTTGGCAGCATTGGGGGACAAGGGGGAATATGTTTCAACTTTTAAATGAATACCACAAATATCTGAATAGACTGAATTATGAATACCTGAAAGGACTTTGACTTTCTGACCCTGGGATGGTGCTCTGATGCCCCCTTGTAATTAGGGACTCAATGCAAGCTATCCCACAGTTGTTAAGTAATTCAACTGACCAGTTAACTATAGAGGGTTTGTCACAAATTCACTGAATTTCAGTTTGCTTGAGAACTTCAGAATTCTTATAAATTTGCAACTGTTACACTTCCCACTGGACTTCCTGTTTGTTTACTTGGCTATCAGAGGGTGAGTTACAAAACGCAACTCGTGCCAATTTAATCGCCTCATCTCCTGGCAGAAAGCATACTTAATGTTGAGTGGTTCACCTATGTAAACTGGTTAAAAGTTGATATAATCAGCGATCCATTTCATAGACAGGAAAACCTGCATTGAATAAGGAAGTGAGATCTGGATTCTTCAGCTTGGCTCCAAGAGCCCCTTTTATTTTCACCAGTAAACTTCTTACAGCTACGTGAAATCTTTTTCTTTTAGGTCCCGGAGAGATTTTTATATTTTAAACTCTCTTTGGATTACTGTGTGTGTGTTTTCTCCTGTACCTTCTGTTCTGGCAGCATCCGCTCTGAGGTCTTTGCAAAGCTCCTGTGGGGCCTGTGATGGGACGTTCACCCCAAGTCTAGACTGAAAAGGAGTTAAGTAATCTGATAGGCAGGAGGATTCAGTCTGATAAGCAGTCCCTGACGGAGGATGGAAGTAAACGGTTTACCTGCTTACATCTCTAGCGTGAAGTCTTTATATGATCTCCAATGATTTTATAACCTTATTTAAGGAGCCCATAATATAGCAATATAATGTCATTTGAATAATCTGTTCATCAGTAGACAAAGCTTGGTTCAGTACCAGCAGAATGAAATAACTGTATATTAAATCTCTAACTTCTGAATCAGTGCGCATTTGTTCTTTCTTCACTATATCAGCTTAGATAACTAGCCTGTGTACTTATGAGGTATGTGTTTATACTTCACCATTAATCAAACCATTAACAAGCTGCAACCTGGAGCCCTGCATTTCTCTATGAAACATTGGTTGGTTTTACTTTGAAAATTTTCACTTTAAGTTGGCTTTAGCCACATCAACTAAAGGCCAGATTTTGCCAATCTTAGGCTATGTCTACACTGCAGGCTTCTTGCACAAGAACTTTTTGCCATGGATGCTCCTGCACAAGAAAGATCTGATTGCCATTCACAGAAACAGAGCACCTGTGCTTTTTCCGATAGGGATTTCTCGTGCAAGAAACCCCTGTTGTCCATCCACACATGCCTTTTTGCGCAAGAGCTCTTGCACAAAAAGACTTATTCCTTGTAGAAAGAGGAATAACTCTTGCACAAAAAGCCCTGTCTTCTGATGATCTACTGTACTTTTTCTTGCGCAAAAACGCACTTGGGCTAGGTCTAGACTGGCATGATTTTCTGGAAGTGCTTTTAACAGAAAAGTTTTTCGTTAAAAGCATTTTCGGAAAAGAGCGTCTAGATTGGCATGGACGCTTTTCCGCAAAAGCAAAAGCCATTTTCGCGATCAGGGCTTTTTTGCGCAAAACAAATCTCAGCTGTCTACACTGGCCCTTTTGCGCAAAAGTATTGCGCAAAAGGGACTTTTGCCCGAATGGGAGCAGCATAGTATTTCCGCAAAAAGCACTGATTTCTTACAGTAGGAAGTCAGTACTTTTGCGGAAATTCAAGCGGCCAGTGTAGATAGCTGGCAAGTTTTTCTGGAAAAGCGGCTGATTTTCCGGAAAAACTGGCCAGTCTAGACACAGCCTTGTAGTGTGGATGCTCTGCGAGTTTCTATGCAAAAACTCTAGCCTTACTCATAATGAGTAACATCTTACTCTACACTCAAATCAACAGGACGTCCTATGCAGAAAGGCACCACTCGGTGTACACAAAATCTGTCCTTCAATGTTTTGATATAACATAGATTTAACATTTTTGTTTCTAGTTAGCCAGTTTGCAATAGCAATAGTTCCAGGTTTCAGTGTGTGAAAGACTGCAACAAACATGCTATGTATCATTACATCTAAGACTTAAAATGCCCTTTTTTGGTATATATTAATTCTCGGAAAATGAATTGTTAATACTAAATCATATTTACAGTTATTCCCACAAAAAGCAATCCATTTGACACACTTATTATACATCTAATTAGCTAATACTTTCCTATTAATTTTCTCTTCTCTGAACACCCTCTACTGTGCCAATATTCTTCCTATAATATGTTCCCAGAGTTCATCACAAAATTGCAGGTGCAGGAGTCAGATAAATTTCACGTTGTTTAAAGGACATTCAAAATATGATGGCTACTTGGCCCTGGAAATGTAAGTTTAAGATTTGCTAAAAACCAGCACATTAAACACGCCCCAAAAAAATATACTCTGAAGAATGACCACTGAAAATTAAGCTTCCAGGCTGCGTCTAGACTGGCATGATTTTGCGCAAATACTTTTAAGAGAAAAGTTTTTCTGTTAAAAGTATTTGCGCAAGAGAGCATCTATACTGGCATGTGCCTTTGCGCAAGAAAGCTCCAATGGCCATTTTAGCCATCGGGCTTTCTTGCACAAGGAATTAACATGGCTGTCTACATTGGCCCTCTTGTGCAAGAATACTTGAGCAAGAGGGCTTATCCCTGAGCAGGCGCATTGGAGTATTTGCGCAAGAACCACTGATTTTGTACAGTACAAAGTCAGTGTTCTTGCGCAAATACTCGCGGCCAGTGGAGACAGGTGGCAAGATTTTGTGCAAAATCTTGCCAGTATAGATGCAGCACCAGCGTATAATAAGGGTAATGTATAGTAGGGATATGCCTATACCACAAATACTACAGTGCCACCACTGCAATTACATTTCCTGCAGCAACAGAAGAGACTATTGTCAGTATAGTAAAACTAGCTCTCGGAGGGTATGTCTACACTACCCCGCTAGTTCGAACTAGCGGGGGTAATGTAGTCATCCGCAGTTGCAAATGAAGCCCGGGATTTGAATTTCCCGGGCTTCATTTGCATGAAGCCGGCCGGCGCCATTTTTAAATGCCGGCTAATTCGAACCCCGTGCCGCGCAGCTACACGCGGCACGGAGTAGCTAGTTCGGATTAGGCTTCCTAATCTGAACTAG